CAATGAAGCAGTTCACCCTTAGGTACTCCCCAGCATCCTGGTAATCGCCTGCGTTGGACCAGCGCACCGATTTGGCTCACAACGGGGAGGAGCGATATCCATCCAAAGCACCCGAGCTGCCTCACCCGCCTTGTCCATCGCGAACCAAGACTTCTCTGAATTCTCCCCTTATCCCTGCAGGAGCCTGATGCAGATGTCGATGTGTTCTGCAGTCTCCCGAACGTCCAACCCAATCAAACGTTTTGATTCTGGCTGCTGCCCACACATTCGCACTGGCCATTGCTGGAGCTTCGTCTAACCCGCAGACAACTATCTTCTCCGCGCTGTCCACTAGTTGGAGGTCTCAATTTTTTTCTTCAGAATGACACTGGCTATGTTGACTCCACTTATCTTTACCTCGTACGTGTCGTCGTTCTCTTCCTCTTCCTCCTCCCCCTTGGCGTGGGTATCGTGTTTGGAATACCCAGTGCCAATCTCTTCCAGTAGATCCACGATGCGAACAGGATCCTTGTGACTATCCCTCACTTCATCCTGTTAGGACGCGTTCGGAAGAACAATTGCCATCTGTGCGCGTACAGCTCGGTCCGTCGTCTCACCCACCAGTACATTGGAGAAGCTATCTCTCGCTGTTCGTCTGATGTAATCTGTGATGCAGGTGACGGCGCGGCCAAGTATCTCGTTTTGAGTAGCAAGCTGGTGCCAGGAAAATGTTCGCCAGCACCGGAGAAGTTCAGTAGCTTTAATACAAAGTACCATGACATCTGCGGCTGGATTTTTACGGGCTGCTACACCAATGAACAGACAACCCTAGGCAACTTAATATTTAAACAAAGATACCTGTGGTGTACAGGCATGTCCCACTAAGTTAAAGAATCTTGACTTGAAATCGAATTACCCGCCGTGCTCTGAATCCTACTTGTGAAGTGGTGATCTGCTTAGCGCCTCTTTGTCGTGTCGTGTACCACCACCCCCGGCGACTGTCGCCTGACGACGAGCGCCAGCGCGCAGGAGCCACCCAATACGCTTTTATTCGCTAGCTTATCACGTAATAAGGGCTGACAGCCATAACGACCACTCGCCTTGCGCTGCCGGGCGGTCATCCCAGCCCCCGTTCCTCACGATCGCCTTTCATGAGACGGGTTTGAGACGGACTAGCACTGTGGCATTTCAGTTTAGTTGCATGACGTCAGGGTCTCATTCATTAATATGTAATGCCTTCCCGTGACAGGGGGCGCCACCAGTTTCTGGGGCGTAAATACCTATGTGGTAGAGGTGGTGGGTGAAGTTCTAAAAAGATATTGCCACTATTTTTTAATTTTGACGTGCAAAGATTACACGGAGAGATGGCCCGCTGTATTGCGAAGGTGCCATTTTAGACCCAGGACACATGATAGCGCGGCAGTGGGGCGGAATCTCTACCACCCAACTACCGGAACGCCGGACTGAGCGCGACACGTGGGAGCGAACCGTTGCATGGGCGTGGTACGCGACGGTGGTGAAGGGCAGGCAGCATACAGACGGAAGTTTCATCCTCCCACGTATTTATTTTTCTCGCTTCTCTCCTAGGCGGCATCCCCCATGCCGGCCACGACCATGTTACGCGCGATTTTCATGTTATATCGTTGTTCCCTCCAACTTGGCTTTGCCATCCGCGTAACTCGAGGCACAGGCACCTCATTCTTTTCTCACAATATTGCCATGCTCACCCGACAGATTTCTCACCGACACCAAACAGCAATCACGAGATTCCCAAAGCCAAACTTGCATAAATGCAGCAAGCGCCGTGACTGGCTCATTAGATAAAGTTTCTGTATTGTTTTTGAAGCTACGTACTCGCACATGATGTGGTGTAATACATAATGTTAACCTTCCTAGGGAAAGTGACTGTACTTACTGTACTGCACTGTACCGTACTGTACTGTACTGTACTTACTGTACTGTACTGTTCTAATAATCAACCTCGCGAAAAAAGCTACTTGGGAGTAATACGTATACCAGCAATAACCATATTTTGCTTCGATTAATTTTACATGCCATTGTTAAGTGCGGCTGTTGGCTAGTTGGCTCACCGTATCGATCTGCAGGTAATTTCCGTCGAGGCAAGTCTCTGTCATAAACCGACTAACAGGGGCGACTGCAAATAGTGGCGAAAGCACTGCTCACCGACATTACATGGGTTTTTACGAAAAAGATGTTTTTGTCCTAACATGGACAGCAAGCGCCACTTTGCTGGGATTCCGCAGCAAGCACCCATACGTTCACACCGTCTCGTGCATGCTTGTCGCCAGTCACATTAAAGGTCAATAGTTTGCTCGCTGCACATAGTCTGCAGGTTATGTGCAGCGACCAGACCCCCTCAATTATGAGTGGAACCACATATCCATACAAGGGTAACCGCGGCATAACCACGTAGCCCCCAACTTCTATCGTTACTGAATAATGCCGCAATCCCTCATCGGCAGGATGGAATCCCACATCGGTTCATAATACTTTGCTTCCGGATTCTGGAATACCACATAGGCTCGTAATACTTTGTTGCCGGATTGCCGGAATCCCACATCGGCTCATGACGCTTTATCGCCGGAATCACACATAGGCACGCCAGAATCCTCCATCGGCTCTCATGTGCGAAAATCGCCTTCTGGAGTCGCTGGAACAATTCTAGCAAAAGTACCCTCAGTGGCCGAATTCACTGCCGGTGCTAAGTGTCAATTACTTAGGGTCATCTTAAGAAACCCCTTCTGTGGCCACAAGCCAATCCACCATGGGGAAAAATCAAAAAACTTTTTCGACAACCCAACGCCCTTTTTTGACTTCTGTTTTCTGGGAGTCGCAAGAAGGCCGCTAAAAAGCAAATCTTACGTTCTGCGAGCCGCGAATCCATCAACGGCGTCTTTCGCGTGCTACTGCCACTTCACTAGCGGCCAGCGACGTGCAAAAATGTGTCTCACCTTATTTGTGAGTCGCGGAGAGATCAACCAATAGCAAACTCCCTAATTTCTTGTAAGGAGTGGGACCTTTCAACTCACGGTTAGACAATTGCCTACGTTCCGCGTAAGACTTTCTCCATCGCTCTTCGCGACTAGTCGTAACGCAAGGCATGTGTGACGCACTTGACCGCAGTAACAAAAATCCCTTCATTGCCCTCGTGGAAAATTCACAGCCGCCGTAAGCTGTACGAAGTATGTGAGCTATGCAAGATACAGATATTAACGTCAAAGGCATGAACCTGACCACGACACGTCCTGTCTTATGATACAAAGTTCAAGCCGCACCGTATTAATTGACTTGCTGTCTTCCCACAGACTGTTCATTGAAACGCATATATAAATACCAGGCACGGTTGGCACGCAATTTAACAGCAAACGTTAGCGACCTATTTGCATATTAGATATGCTTATTACTGCGATACGATGTAAGCACGAAAAGGGTGCATGACTTATAACAGATCAGAATTGATGTGCGAGCGCGTTATCTCAAAACGACCTCTAGATCGTGCATTCTTAGTTGTCTCAAAAGAGGAAAAAGGACCGGGGGTCTCAGAGAATCGCCGATTCTTCGGCGATTGTTCCACCGGGATTACATTTTGCCGAGGTGTAGACCCCTAGCGCCCGGCCGTCGGCGCACCAGGCCCATATGGTTTCCCATCACCCCGTCCGTGTCAACGTGCTTCCGACAGCCGACCCCGTTACGGTACTGTCTGAACGTACCCACGTACCGTTTGAACTTGTTTATACTCCGACAAGGTCGGCGCTTTTAAAGGGACGCCGCCTATTAATGGTCCTAGCGCGCATGTCCGGAACGAACACCCGGGCCAAACATAACAAACAAAACCGTACTCGCACATTAAAAAACAGCATGTGGCCAACGGCGGATACATACGCCCCGCGCTACATCTGAAGCTAGCATTTTCAATGCCGCGTCCGGGATTACAAAAATAAAACACGCCTCAAAAATAACCTACTTGCACTAGAAACACCATGTGGCCCGCGAAGGATAGACAGGCCGCGCGCCACACATATCCTTTTTGACTGGGGTTGGGGATGAGGTGGGCGACACGTGCTCACAGGGCCTGCTCTGTGTATCCACGCCTGACCTTATCGCAGATACATGTAGTGCCCTGCACCCTGGTTTGGCTATCTGTAATCATATTCGCACGCAGCTTTGGCGTTAAGAATAGAAACGCACCTAAACGTCCCGACGTCCCGAGAGTGCAACATACGTGACTCGTCATCCTCGGTGACCATGGGAGCAGGTACGGACCGAACATTGAAACGCACATGAACGTCCCGACGTCCCGAGAGCGCAACATACGTGGCTCGTCACCCTCCGTGACCATGCGGGCAGGAAGGGACCGAGCACTATCTCCAGACAGGTACATACCGAGAACGGCGGAGTGTAGATAGGCACGGACTGAGCATGGTGCATCTCGCGCGCATCTGGCGCATTCAGCGCAAAAAGTCCACTGCAGGAGAAACAGACTCGCCACGCTCGCCATTCACTAACAACACCAGCGGCGGTTCGACCAGGCGGTGCGAGGCCGTGTAAGGTCGAAATGCATTGCAATCGCTGTCCAGGTGCGTTATCATGCTAGTCGTGAAATTATGCGCGATCGGTTCGCTGGCCACATGCGCCTATCAGTAACAGTTTGTTGGTTATGGGTACGAAAACAGCCCAATGCCCTTGCCGTCCAATTGCGAATAAGTCTTGTGTTTGCGTTTTCACTTTTCATGCCGCTGCATCTTAATGGTTTACCAAATGGGCTTGCAGAGCACATCATGTTTACCACTATGTTTTGTGCAGTCAGCTCGCTGGTCATACGCGGCCTTCCACCCACATTCTGCTTTCATTGTCTTAACGAGGATTTCAGTATATTAGTTGCCCATCAGCATCGCGGCTGACCTCCAGCGGCAAACCGCGCATCGTATTCGTAATACCAATGACGTCATGATAACGTTGCACGAAAATGAAGGGAAAGTTGCCGGACAACCTTTTGTTTTTAAGCGACTCTGGGTATCCGTGATTGTCAAGTTTTGGCGGGTGAGATTGTTATTGCTAATGTAGTAATTACTAAGTGTGTTTGTGTTCAATCCCCATCTCTTGCATGCCGGCGGTCCAGTTTTACCTTTGACCGTTTGGGCTAGAAAGATACATGTTTGTTGATAGTGTGGGTGACTTGCAACAACACACATGATGTTCTTTGATGGGTGCCAGCGCGCGTTCACGCGCACCAAAATATATGTTCAGAATAACATTGTAGGGTTTAGAATACCATTGATAAATTTCTATGTTTTCTAGCACACAGAGAAGCTTGCACTGTCTGTTGTCAATGCGAGGAAAGTAACCATTGACCGAAGGAAAGCTGGGGGCCGTGAAGGGAGCAGCAATATTTGTGGCTTGCAGAAGGGAATTCCCTTTCCTGTAGTCCCTAAAATTCATTTATTTATGATGGGGATTGTTTCCCATCAAGTTAAGGTTGGCTTTGAGTAGATTTAAGCATTTTTCTATGCCATTAGTTTGCTTTGCATGAAGTGGCAACACCAAGTTGAATAATGGTGCTGAGTGGCACTGTTGATCATGCAGTATGCGCTGTGTTGTTCCTGATGTGAAATTCTGTGGAAGGGATGCCATCATTGGTGCAATGGTGAAGCTGCACATTTGGGAAACCAGAGGAAAGGGATTCTGGGTACAATATGGCCTCTGCAGTATGTGATTCCCAAAAATCTGATTAACAATTATAGGTGAAAAGATTATTTCTTAAATTTCTAGGAGTTCTTCCTGCTACCATGAGAGGCAGGCAATATAAGTTAATGTCAACAGTATCTTACAGCCCTTGTGGTATCACATGACACAAAGTGCCAACATTGGAAATGGTAGAATCAGCAAAGATAATTGCATCATGTATGATGCCACATTTTGTGAAAAAATTATAACCTGTACTTTGGATTCTCAACTTGAATAGCAGTCAAAATAGATGCTTTTGTTGTGGTAGGTTGCCTCTGCAGAAGGTGATTCCAAAAACCCTAAATAACAACAAGGGGAAGATGTTTTTCTTTAATTTCCAGCAGTTGCTCCTGCCACAGTGAGAGGCAGGCAATACCATCTAACTGTAACAGCATCTTACAGCCCTAATGACATGACATGGCATTGATACCAGCATTGGAATTGGTAGAATCAGCAGAGGTAATAAATCATGTGTGATGCTCCATTTTATAAAAAAAAACTGGAAAGCTGTACATTGGTCTTTCAACATAAATAGCAATCAAAGTAGGTAAAGCACCTTATTCTCATAAAAAGATGAATCCTAATGTTACCCGTAGGTATTTTCACTCCCATTTCTGACTGTTGCCCGTCTCGCCCATGTGTATCCTACTATGTTTTCAGCTTATGGTTGTGTGATTCTCTGTGCCTGGTTCAGAAGTTCCAGTGGGTATGGATGCCAATAGCTTAAGATGCGACCTGAAGGCGAAGGACCGCGGAAATGGTGTTTCTGCTTTGTAGAGGAAAAGCATGTCACCCAAAAAAGTTCTGAGTAGTTTTAGAGTCCATCATCCTCAACAATCTCACAAAAAGTATATGCTTCATATAAAGGTTCAACTTTGCTAAGGTTGTATTTGCAGCCTGGGTACAGCACAAGAGTTCTTTTAAGGAGTCACTTTCCAGCACTGTATTGAGTGTGGTTTGCACTTTTTTGCAGCGATCTATTCCAACACACCATCAAGGCAGGAGATATGACAACTGAGAACAATATGGAGGCTATGTCAGCATCTGTCACACTTGACACTGCAAATGCAGGTAGCCAAGGTCATGTGCCATTGCTGGTCAGCCAGAGCTCAACATCAAGCATGCCAGCTCATCTTTCTGTCCCAATGCCAGAGGAGTCTCCAATGTTCTCTGATGAAGGGCCCAAGATGGTTGGCTTACCTCTTGTCACTGAAGGCAGGACAGTTGCCAGTATGCCACCTCCAACTTATGCTCAAGTCACAAGTACTGAAGGTAAGGAAAGCTGTGGTGCCTGATAACTGCAGCAATTTTTATCATGGTTCTAGGCTAATAATGCTCGACAAGCTATGTTTGTGACAGGAGTTGATTGTCTGCATGGGCCTGACTGTATGAACATTCTCAAAACATTGCTGTATTGCTTTAGAGATTGGATAAATATTGATGTAAGGAATTAAACAGCCTGAAGGAGCCATCCCTCTCTTGTGAGAACTGAGAGGATGCTTTCCCCTGCAGGACTGCCCTCAGGCCAGTCAGCACATACTAATAAATGGCTGGTCAACTGCACCTATTGTACCAACACTTTTACATGTGCCATAAGTATTCTCCTTGTACAAACCATCTCACATGTTCTGGTGCTATGCTCTTGTTGCCTGGCTGTGACTGAAATGCCTCATATTTCCCCCAGCACCACCACCTTTATATGAGACCCTGTTTGGTGGTATGTGCAAGGGCAAACAGGATTCTCCAAGAGTCTGGGAATCTCTGAAGAATTCACCATTGCTGAATGGCATTGGGGCAGCAGGTATGAAGATTGTTTGTAGCACATGCTTCACCAAAGGAGATCTAAGCTGTGACATGATTGAGGAAATGTACATGGACATGCACCACTGCTTCTTGACAGGGAGTTGATTGTGACTGAATGACATTCTTGGTGGTGGGGGTGGGGGTGGGGGAGGAGGTGTTATTCTGACACAAAAACAGAGAGTGCTTGCAATCTAATCTGTCTTCTTTGAACCCCCCCCCCCCCCCTTACCATGCTGGCAGCATCCCTGTACCCAGAGCATTAGAACACAATGACACAACAGTGTGTGCCTGTATCTCGTCCCTGCTGCACCTGACGCCAGCCCTGTCGGCAGTGGTGGTCGTGATGGGGCTGAGCATCTGGTTCGCCTTGCCGGTGACCATGGTGGCCGTCGCCGCCACCAGCTGGGGCGAGGAGACGTGCCCGGCCCAGCCCCGCCTCGCCATCTGGCTCTGCTTCGGAGGTAATGACCTCCGCGGCCGCTCCGGAGCGTATGCGTGGTCAGTGCTGAAGGTGCCGCTGTACAGACCACGTTTGTGCTCTCGCCTGTTTCGTCTAGTGTCACGTCAGCCCTGCGGGGGGGGGGGGCGTGCTCAGACCGGGACGTGTCCGGCTGCGGTGCCCGTGAGCCGGTGGGAGCAGCCAGTCAACCCCCTCCCCCCTTTCCTCGAGGGCCGGCTGTGGCGCGGTGCCCGCCCGCCGGGCGCCGACTCACCGCCGTCTGCCTGTCGCCAGGGGCGCTGTCTCTCGTGCGCAGCGTGCAGGGGACCCTGTTTCGCGCGCGCAGCACCATGGACGACGAGGACGAGAACGCCGCGTACGCCAACTGCGCCGCCATCGTCGCCCACGTGGCCTGGCTCGTGCTCGGTGAGTTGTCAGCCGCCCCGCCCGCGGGCGCCCGGTGTGGCCGAGGGCAGCGTGTGCTAGATACCGGTGTAAGTCGCCGTGCGCGAGTTGCGCTGAACAGGTCGCCGGGCGACTCCGTGACGCCAGTTCGCCCTGCGCGAGGCCGGGAGCTGCGCGCGGGCTCAGTGATGTGTCCTGGTCCGCGTCGTGACCCCGGGACTGCTTTGCGTCGTGACCCCAGGACTGATCTGCGTCGTGACCCGGGACTGCTCTGCGTCGTGACCCCAGGACAGCTGGTGCCAGGTGGCATTACCGCGCCATTTGGTCAGTGTGCCGCCCTCTCCCTGGCCTCCAGCGGACCGGGACAGATTCGCCTGCCGCGCGTGTACATGCGGTGTCACCACTGACGCGTCCACAGGCACCATCTGGCTGTACCAGATATACCTTCCCGAGTTCTCGCTGGACGGCGACCAGAGCAGCTACTGCGACTACACGCTGTACATGACCTCCCTCGTCGCCCTGCACCTGGTCTACCTGATCGCCGGGGTGACGTTCGTCGTGTTGTTCGGCGTGTACGGCATCTGCGGCTACACCCTGGAGGGGCTGTAGCCCCGCCGGCGCTGAGGAGACTCCTGCCCATGCAGAACCGCCTTTAGGCCGGTCAGCGCGCGCCAGCAAACGGCCGGCAGACTGTGCCTATTGGACCAACATTTCTACTTTTGCCTTTATTTTCCTTCCTTTTTGTACTTTTATACCAAAATGGGGTGAAGCATAAGTTGGTGGACATGCCGCTATGCCATCATCACAAATGTAGCTGTGAACTGTTCCTGATTACTTTCATCTATGGCAGTACGTCTATTGCTGGGTACAATGCCATTCCACAAGCAGCAATGTCCTGTTCATATTACGCTTTCCATTCGAGGTTGAACAAAGGGGCCAATGTTTGGAGGAAAAGGAGCCTTGTTGGGAGCTCGTGATGGAGCTCTCACCCCGATCACATCTTATTCTTCTGCAGTGAATTTTTGGCAAAATTTTGAACGTGATTTGCATTGTATGCAATTGTTCAGACAAAGTGATTCACACTTCAGAGCATCACGTTTATTTTTGCCATTTCGGTATCGCTATTAATGTAACATTTTTTTGTGTGCTGTGGTGACACATTTCATACATATTTCATCAGCTCAGGCCCAGGATCTCAGTCTTCAGGTCATTAACGCGTGCTCTGGGAGGTGACAGGAAATCACCACCTCTGAATTCAACATTTGTGGCATGCACCACACAGCCACGGAAGATGTACATAGGCATGCGACAAGTTACTGTAACCAGCTGTGTTTAGCGTGCTTGTCTTTTTTCTTTGTAATCCTGTATATCGTTGTAATTCCAGTTACTTTTTTGCTGGACTTTCTGCCAACTGTCAATTACTCAGGAATTTCGACTAAAAGGATGTGATGAAAAATAAGAACTACAGTGCTGAACGTCCTCTGAGATGTTCGTGGAGCATTGAACTTCCAAGTACAATTACATGCCATTGCGAACAAGAACGCGGATCTTTCTGTCCGTGAGAATAATTTGTAGACTGGTTTATGTGGTCTGTCAGTAACGTAATGTCTTTCGCTCAAGCTTTTTTGCATTCTTGGAAGTATCGACAAAGTTCAAAGCAAGAATACTTCCAGAATTTTGATTGGTGTGATTGTATCAATAGTGTGGTGTCCTGCACTACAGTTTTTGGATTTTTACAAGTACCAAGAGAGTTCAAAGCAGTCCACCACTAGTGTTCGCGCATAGAAAGCAGCCAGATTTTGTACCTCGTGTTTTGCCGTGCTAAGATATCTCAGGGTTAGTACTAAGCGTATGTATAAGTGACAAACTCGGCGCGTCAAGCCTCGCGCGCCGCACGCACACCAGCACCTCTCGTGCGGAAGCCATGCGGGTGCTGGCGCCGTCCGGGGGCCGGCCGCCGCGCGGCAGACCGCCGATGATCAGGGGAGCCGCGGGCGGCCCGGGGACCGGCGGCGGCGGCCCCGCTCGGCCCGGCCCCGCTCGGCTCGGCTCGGCGGAGAGTCCGCCCGGAGGCCAGAACGCCAGCCACCGCTCGATACGGAGCTGTGCGGCCGGCGCGCCGCTCCGCCGCCGCGTTTAGACGGTAGTTGTGAAACGGGTATTAGGGTAAGGCGCTCGACGGCGTACCGTAGTGGGCGTGGAGTGGTAGTGTAAGGTTTGTGTCGTACTGTAAGGTCTGTTTGTGCTTAATGCTGCTATCTGTATGCCTTTCCCGATTTTGGTGCGAATCATTCTGCGGGTTCCAAAGTCTACATTGTAAATCATCGCAGTGAAACTAGAGCGCGCAAGATCTCAATTTTCAGGGTTATTGTGCTTCCAAACATTGCACCAATGCATGTGGTTAACAGTAACACATTACTGTTGTGTCAAGTATCTATAAGTGCTCTCGTACTTTGCACCATTCGAGTTCGAACTGGCGAACTGACTTGTACCCAAAAGCCTGCTCAACAAAATCGCCAGGTTCGCTCAAATGCAGTGGGTTCTGCCGTGAAACAGTGTCGGACGCCTGACGTGCATGTGTGAAAACCAGCCGAGAGCGTACAAATATATCTGTCCATAAACGTTTTTCCACAAGGTATGCCGGCCATTCGGTATTGAAATATAATTTGTTAAACAGCATGACTATTTTATTAGGATCTGTGAATCAAAGTTGTGTTTGGCTTATTTGTCTACCCGGCGACTGCAAATGCCACAGATGTTGTACAATCCCATGATGATATAAAACTACATGGTCTGGTCGGATATAATGCATAATACATAATAGCCAGAATAAGTGCGAGGCAAAAACCAAAACAAGAGTGCCTGCGGCCAAGAGCAACGAAGGCAAATTATAGACGCTGTTGAGCTGTATGAACTACGCATCGCTTACGGTACGGTGCTGTAGTGGAGTCGGGGTATTCTCACCCCCTGGACGCGGCAGGGGGTCTCCGGGGCCGACGGCCCAGTCATCTTTTGGCAGTCAAAGACGCTTACAACGGTCCAAAACAGACCTCACAGGCATCTAAACAAAGTCCCGATCATGGCAAGTATCCTGATAAAAAACAGGACCCCTATGGCAACGAAGAGAGCTCCCTTGGCTGAAAGGGCTCTTCAGGGCCCGGCTTAGTGCCCCTTGGGCGGGAACCTAGCTACGCCACTGTTCCGACATATCTCACACTTCAACGAGTCTCCATTAAGTAAACACAGTCCAAATTTTGTGGAGCTCGCCCCAAAAAGCCTCCCAAAGATTCGCGATTGACTGAAAAGGAAGCATGCAAATGTCTTATTTGAAAGCAAAAAAGAAGAATTTTCTTATTAGTTTGATATAGTACTGGGGAAAGCCGAGACCAGATCTTAGCAACCCGGCGTCGTAGCGAGACGACCTTACCATATACTGACGGAAGAGAAAGGGGACGATCGCAAAAAAGGATAAGTTGTGTGCTGGCGGCCAACAGCCTCGCGTGTTCAATCCATGGATCCACCTGTTTTGAGTCATTTTTAAGAGCTGATGACGGATCTCAGCAACCAGAGCAGACGGAAATGTGAACCTGCGTGGCGTTGGGGAATGTATCGGCTCCTCTTCGCTAATGAATCCCAAATTTGCTCCTGAGATTTGCCAGTGATCGACCGGAGAGAGAATAGCGCCACCATCTCTGGAACGGGACGGATGGCGAGTACCAGATGCTACTGCCCAAAGCAAAACAGACTTGGTCACAAAATCTGCACGCGTGCTGTGGTGACATGAACACAGCAACTCCGGGAGGTGAGAACGGCCGGTGACAGGCGCTTCCAGGACGAGGCTATACGGTACAACGTCTTGCACGACAATCTAATGGCCTCTCACATCCGGTTGTCTGAGCCGGGAAGCAGGCAACACCAAAGCGGCTGCCACCAACGACCTCGTGACGCGCTAACAGCGGTGCTAAAGATGGGGCAGCGACCGGACCGCCAACGGGAAGCAAGGGTCACTTAAAGCCCTGCGAACGCCAGTGTGGTCACGGCGCGTGACAGGGTCACTCATGCCGCGCCAGACGACCGACTCCAAGGTTGTTGAAATGTGATCGCAACCACGCGGCCAGAGACGACCCAGGCCTTACCTTTTGCGCTCGGCTGAGATAGTGCTATCTTATATAAAGGGCCATGCAAATAAGAAGGATGCCTTGATCTGGATTAAGATATATAATGCATTTGGTCGCCTCCCGGACGAGGTTGCGCTCAATGCCCGGAGGCTAGCTAGCTCGGCAATTTCCAAAGATACGGCGTCTAATTTGAAATGTTTCTAGTCGTCCGCCGCGGCTAGGACCGAGCGCACACAATGCCATTGCAGAAAGACTGTTCGCCAGCAATGTAAATCGCTCATCGGCCGACATGACGCTCTTTGTTCAAATCACTCCTTCACGTCGAACTGCTAGCTGCAGCCGGCCTGCCGCTGCGTAATGGCAGGAATACGTACTTAGAATACGACGGTGTAATAATACTCGATGAGTGCGACTGTGTGCATTTCATAACACTGGTATAGGACTATCAGCTGCCAGTACAACACACTTGTCCGATTGCGGAATTCATTTTATCCGGTCTTCCCCTCCCCGGCAGTGTCTCAATGCTGTCGGGACTGCCATAGCGGCGCTTTGCGTGATTGCAATATGATATTTAAGACGCCTAGTGTGCGCGGTGAGTGCAATCGTGCCATTACTTTTTACTTTTTTACTTTGATTTCTTTATTTTATTTTATTACTCATCGATTACTACGATTACTCATCGGCCATCACGACCTTTCTGTGTTTAAATCACCCCGTGATTGTGCATCGCTATCTGCAGACGGCCTCCCCGCAGCATGATCAGTGTGGTGACCAGAATGCGGCAGCCCGGGAAAATCCTTACAATCGCGCCTGATGCGACTGTGCGCTGACTTCATTGACAGGAGAGTGCGACTGTGCGCTGACTACATTGACAGGAGAGTGCGACTGTGCGCTGACTTCATTGACAGGAGAGTGCGACTGTGCATTCGATAGCGTTGGTATAGCGCTGGATGGCTGTCAGCTGCCATCGCGATTGCGGTTAGGGAATTTGTTTTATTTGATCGACCCCTGAGTGTCTCACTCAGGGGTCTCAGTGTCTCACTGCAGCGGGAATTTGCAAAGTTACGGCAGCAAATTACAAATAATTTGTAATCGCACCCCAAGAGTTCGACTGTTGCATTGCATAGCGGTGGTAAAGAGCGATCGATTTCCAGTGCAGCACACTTCTCCTATTAGGGAATCTATTTTATTCCGTCGACGTCGACCCCCGACAGTGTCTCACTTAATTCTTGTGGCACGGCTGGCCAAAGTGGCGATTTGCAAAGAGGCGGTGTCAAATTCCGCCCAATTTAAATTATTTTATTGATGCGCAGCTGCTACCTTGTGCTCACAATGTCCACGTAGCAGAACTACTACATTGTAAATAGTTTATTGGTCGAAATGACCATTCTTATTCAAATCACCCCGACACTGCGAGACTTGCACGCGCCCTACCCGTACCGTAATAGCCAGAATACGGCGGCCCGGGGAAAATAGCAATCATTCGCGAAGAGTGCGACTGCGTGCATTTGAAACCGCTGCTATAAGGCTTTCAGCTCTGAGTACAAGACACCTACCCGATTACAGCCTCCATTTCATTTGGTCGGCTCCCCAGCAATGTCTTCGCTCCATGCTGAAAGGACGGCCATAGCGGCAATTTGTCAAGTTACGGTGCCCAATTAAGCATATTTTTAGTCGTGCGCGGCGTGCACATGCAACGATGTCATTATGGCAACAGTGTCGGCTGGCTATGTAAATCGTTCCCCGGACGACACGGCCTTTTTTGTTCAAATCACCATTTGCATTGTCGAGTGCCACTGACCTGCCAATAACGTGATAGTCGTAATGCGGCGGTAAGAAAAATACTTAAGATCGCGCGCGAGAGGCGTGACTGCGCATTCAACAGCGCTAGTACAGGGCGGCGAGCTGTGACAACACACCCGTGCGATTACGTCATTCATTTTATATGGTGGGCCGCCCGACAGTGCCTCACTTAATGCTAGAGACCCAGCCGCAGATGCGGTTTCCAAAGTTACAACAGCCCATTCACGATACTTCTATTCATGCGCGGTGGATGCCACCATGTGCACACCATGCCATTGTGGGGACGCCATCCGCTGGCAATGTTTAAAGTTCGTAGGCCTGCATAACCTTTTCAGAATCAGCCATTGACGTCGCATTGATCACTGCCACCGGTCTTCCAAAAGCCTGATGACCCGCATGCGGAGGCCCGAAAAACACTTAATCTCCATCGAAGTGTGTTGCTATGTACGTTCAACAGCACTGTAGTAAGGCTCTCATCCGTAAGCACAGTACACATGCCGGATTAAGATATCCGTTTTGTTCGGTCGGCCACGGGAAGGTGTCACACTGACAGTTGCCGGGTTAGCTGCAGTTGTGATTGGCAAAATTACGGCGTCCAACTTAAGTGCTTTCAGTCGCGCGCTGCGGGCGCGACCGCGCGCATACGATGTCATCGCGGGGACAACATTGACTGGGAGTGTAAATCGCTCATCGACCGGCATGATCTTTTTTGCTCAAATCGTCCTTCGAATGCACATTCTTTATTTCGCTCGGCCTGCCCATGACGTATGGCCGGACTGTGGTGGTCCATGCCTAGTACTTGTAACTGCCCGCGAAGAGTGCGACTCCTTGCATTTGAAAGCCTTGGGCAGGGGTATAAGCTGCCAGTACAGCACACTCGTCCGATCAGGAGATCGTTTTATCTGCTCAACACCCCGACAGTGTCTCACAGTGTGCTGGACAGCAGCCCGAAAAAGCAATTTCCAAAAAGACCATGTCCAATTTAAGGTAGTTTTAGTCGTGCGCAGCTGGTGCGACCATGAGCAAACAATACCATTGTGGGAGCACCATCGGCCGGCAATGCAAATTGCACTTCTTCAGACAACATATCCTGCTTTGTTTGACTCACCCCTTAAGGCGCGCAGCTGACTGCGGCCAGCCTGCCCGGAACGTAAATAACAAATAATGGGCCAGAATACGGAGGCACGGTAAAAATACTCATAACCGCACGCAAGGAGTGCGATGTTGTGCATTCAATAGCGCTGGTAAAGGGCTGCCAGCTGCCAGTACAGCACACTTGCATGATTCTGGTTTCCGTTTTATTCGGTCGTCCTTCCGGCAGCGTCTTGCTAAATGCCAGCGATCAGTCGGACCGGCCATTTGCCAAGTTACAGCTTTTACTTTAAAAAAATGTTTCCATTCATGCATGGCGGGCGCGACCATGCGCACAAAATGTGATCATCGGAGCACTGCAAGTCGACCTGACAATGTACATGACCAACGATGTAAATCGCTCCTTCGCGGACATGCGCTTTTTGATAGAATTACCCCTTGACTGTGCATTCCTTACTGAGGCCGGCACGCCGTGGCGTGAAAGTCTGAGCTCTGAGTGCTGAAAGTCAGTGTCTCACTCAATTCTGGCAGTATGGCAGCAGCTGCAATTCAACATGCTACAGCGTCGAATTTGAACTATTTTTGTCATGCGCAGTGGGTGCGACCATGTACGAGCGATGTCATGTCGGGAGCACTATCGGCTGGAAATGTAATGGGCTTTCGGAC